ATTCAGATACATAAAAATAATATATAGAAGATATGCCTCTGGCATTACAAAATCCGGAAATTAGTGAGATAATTTTATGAGTGAACAGATTTTACCGCATACTTTTCGAGCACTTTCGTGACACTGCTGCCAACCCTTAAAGAATAAAACTACCTTGCGGTATGCGACTATGATGCAAAATACCTGGCCAGTAACATGAACGTAGAGCCTGAAGCCGTCTTATGAACCTAAAAGGCAAGGTCAATACAATACCTTAGAAAAAATCCTATTATAAAACAAAGAAGGTTACATATTGTATTAAGGAAAAATAACTGCATCTGATGGCTCTGACATTGAGAGTGTGCGATATACGATGTTATAACAGCTCTCTGTCATCAATTTTGTCAGAAGTGCGACGGTGTAGGCTCGCCCTGGCAGGACATGTCGTTTACGAACCAACTAATCCAGTGGTTACCCACTCAGAAACGAAGGGTTGGAAAATCACACACTACTTTATTGTTAATCATTGAAAAATACACCAGTCTCGTAGGGTCTGCCCTGCTATCTAATCTACAAGCAGATCTCTTGGTGGGGGTAATACAGTATGATTGGCCAGTCTTTTGTCCCAGTCTTTTCGGTGCAGTCTGTATCCATATTGGCCAGTCTGTATCCATTTCCCCACCGGAAAGACTGGGGAAAAGACTATGTATAAATATATAGTATGGGTTAATTAATCAAAGTTGGTGACCGGAAGTGGTCATACCTTGTATGTGACTATGAACATGCCCTGCACCTAGTCATAAACATGCCCTGTACGTGGTCAATAACATGCCTTGTACGTGACTATGAAAATGCCCTGTGCGTGGTCATAAACATGCCCTGTACGTGGTCAATAACGTGCCTTGTACGTGACTATGAACATGACCAGCATCTACTCATAAACATGCCATGTGCGTCGTCATTAACATGCATTGTACGTGACAATGAACATGCCCTGTACGTGACAATGAACATGCCGTGTACGTGGTCATTAACATGGCCTGTACGTGGTCATGAACAGCCCGTAGGTGGTCATAAACATGGCCTGTGCGTGGTCATGAACATGCCCTATGAACCCTGACAATGAACAGTGGTCATTAACATGGCCTGTACGTGGTCATGAACATTCTAAACATGGCCTGTGCCATGAACATGCCCTATAGGTGGTCATGAACATGCCCTGTAGGTGGTCATGAACATGCCCTGTAGGTGGTCATGAACATGCCCTGTAGGTGGTCATTAACATGCCCTGTACGTGGTCATGAACATGCCCTGTAGGTGGTCAGGAACAAGCCTTGTACGTGGTCATGATCATGCCTTTTACTCTAAAGGTAACGTTTGCAAAGCAAATGCAAAATGTTAACGTTCACCTGGTCTAGCATAACGAACTAGTGCTCTGTTTATCCTTACTCAAAGTCAAATACATTCATTATGTACTGTGAGCAAGCTCTCAAACTCTGTTCTGCTACATGATGCAAACATGATGGTAACTACAGCACCAGTTACCATGGTGACGGACGTCTGGTCATTAACTTATTCGTTTGGAACAGAAGAAGTCGAAAAACTGAGCACAAACAATATATGTTTTCCTTCTGCGAAGGTAAACATCACCAATCAATCCATCCATCAATCAATTAATTAATCAATCAATCATTAACCAAACAAGTCTCAGGTGAATTGTGCTATTCTTACACGTTTGTAGAAGTTGTTACAAATGATCCGACATATAAAATATTATTCATGGCTTAAAGTCAATAATTGGTTTCAATAAAAATTATCATTTCACCACACCATAAGTGGTGACGTCCATGCCTACGTGACGTACCTTATCTGCAGTCAGGGATAATCAGACAGTCTCGCCCAAGGCACCGATAAGGTAAAGGTCATTTCATATTTATCATGCTCTTCCACCACAGTGGGCGGTATGGTGAAACAGGTTACCTTAACCAGGTTACCTTGTCAAAGCAACAATACCGACATAACAAGAAAACGATAATCCATCAAATATTCAAAAGGTGTAAATATACAATGAGAACAATCAATTTAGATTAAGAAATCACGTTCATGACCACGTACAGGGCATGTTCATGACTAGGTGCAGGGCATGTTCATGACTAGGTGCAGGGCATGTTCATGACTAGGTGCAGGGCATGTTCATGACTAGGCACAGGGCATGTTCATGGCCACGTACAGGGCATGTTCATGACCACGTACAAGACATATTAATGACCACGTAATAGGTATTTTGATGACCACGTACGAGGCACATTAATGACCACGTACAGGGCATGTTTATGACCACCTACAGGGCATGTTCATGACTAGGTACAGGGCATGTTAATGATCACGTACAAGGTATTTTCATGACCACGTACAAGGCATGTTTATTACCACCTACAAGGCATGTTCATGACCACGTACATGTACAAGGTTTCTTATGACAACGTACAAGGCATATTAGCAGGTTAGCAAGCATCGCTACATCTGCATCATACACCTTCGTATATGATGCTTGCACTAAAGAAAACACCCAATAAATTCGGTTTTACGTAAACTAACATACCTGGGTCCAACTCTGACTACCTTCGCATGGTTAAATGACTGAATAAGACAATAACCAAGACAAGTACAATTATTTGGATCATTCTACATTCTATGATAATGTTAGTTTGAAAAACAGTACAGAAATCTTTCAATCAGTTAAAAAAATGGCCAGTTTTATAATAATCTGACCCTGTCATTTGCTAGACAGTCTGGGATGTGTTTATGTAGTCATGACAGTCAATTCATTATTGCAACTGCAGGGCAAGCAACGGTGGGAAGTATTTCCTTATTGTGTTGCCCTGGGCATCAAAGGTTGTAGTTTGAAGAGCATGCCTGTACTATAAAATCACGCAATAGATTTAGCTAATTTAAGGCCCGGCTAAAACAAAAACATGCCCAGAAGGGCAGCAAAAGCAAACATTTGGGTTTGCTTTTGCTGCCCTCAGCCGAACACTGTCTATAAGTATAAGGGCTATTCTATTTGTCGGTGTAGGACCCCACATTGGCGAGCAAATACCCAACACATAGACGAGACGAGAGAAAGGTAAAGGGGGTCCTGAATGTTGTGAAATTACCGTTGAAAAGGCTCAGTAAAAAATTAGATTAAAGATTAAACTTTTACATTATAACGTAAATTTGGTCAGAAATGTTTCCAAAATCTATTCATGAACAAACTGTAAAATGACAGTATTAGGATAAAACGGTCGATAGATATCAACAGTATTTGATAAATACAAAGTAAGAATGTAAGAACGGCACAGGATGACAAACCATGGTGGTGAAATCGCCGATAAGATTGAACTATACGCTCACTAGGCAACACCGCATACTTGAAACATAAACACATAGTACAGAAAACTTACCTGTTGTGGATTTTCAACTTGCTTGGCAAAGGTTTGGTCGAAATTGACGAAGATAGATAACATATGGTGGTTTCTCGGCTCCATAGAATAGTTACCATAAATAAAACCAGAAAGATCAAGAAGACTAGAAGAGATTGAAGGGATTTCAATGCCAACGCCATCATGGACTTGTTATCGATTTGTCAGGTCGCGTGCAATCGTATGCAGAATCAAAGGCATTCAACTGTTGCTTATATACAAATCTTATAACCACAGAAAGGCCACATTCGCAAGCAACTGCATCATATTTCACTCCATATCTCTTCAGATGCAAATGTGGACTGGTCCATGACAACCTTTTGCAGAAATTGATCATCATGAAGTTTATTCCATCCACAAATGGACCATGCCAACACCACTTTACTCCAAATTAGAATTTTCTGAATGAATGTTGTGTGTCGAAAGCTATCTTATATTACATCTTAAGCCTTCGTTTGTCACATAACGGGAAATAGTTCCGTTGACTGCAACATTGGCAAAAAGCTTAATAATTTCTTAGACCTGCGGCTCTATGGATTGTTCAGGCAGGGATTAGCGCGAAAATACTACCATTTTTGGCACTTTACCATGATGGCCTCGCCGTGGGCGGACGGCCCTTTTGTGATGGAAAGTAGGCAATGGTTTGCAAACAGTTTTGTCCTGCTCGAAATATGTGTACACAATAGAGTATAGCGTGAGAGTAGTGGTAGACCAGTTTATTAGGCAAAGGTACATATTTACAACATAGAAGTCCATATTTGACGGCCGAATTACGAGGCTGCTCACAATGTCGGGGCATGAATTAAAAAGGTTATATACTATATATACAATATATTACAATCAACGTTAACACAGAATGCACTTCATATCACGTTTATGCACCCAATGTAATTTGAACTATTGCATCCAGAGCTGTGTGTATTTTTTGCTAGATTATGGTATCCTAAAAGAAAATTCAGTAGTGACACAATCTTTCTCTGAAGGACAAATTTTTGGTACAATTATAAGGGAACATTGTGCTCATAGACGTCATTCTTATAATTATAAGGCCAGCGTGTAGAGCTAATCATAAAAACCATTGTCAAGTTGGTCTACCATGCGATCAATTTTAACAAGCATATCCGCCAATGTTCCCTTGTCTTTTATTGATATGTTCTTTTTGTCATCAACATTATAAGACTTTCTGTTCTGAACTTTCTTCATTGTTCTTATAGCAGATTCTTTCACAAATGCGTTAAAGTTCAGCTCATCTGTATTTGTTGATTGCGTCTCTTCTGCGTACACGTCCATAATGATAGCCATGAACATACTGAGCAGGAAAAACTGCATCATGCACTGGTACGTGAAAAACATCAGCGGGCCTAACAAGCTGTGACCCTGTTCCAACTCCTCGAAGTCAAAGCTTCCCAACATCATAAATAAAAGGCTTTGCAGACTGGAAGTTATGTTTTTGTACCCCGCAAGCTTCACACCAAAAATAAGATTTGCCGTCTGTGTAAAGGCCATGATGAGGATTCCAGCCGTGAGCATGAACTGTGCTACAGGCTTGAGAGACCGCCTCATGGTCATGGACAAGGCGTACACGTGAGAGTTAAAGCGGAGAATCCGGACAAACTTCAGTGTAGCGCAGCAGATGAGAAGGCCCAGAAGGTTGGTGTAGACTTCGAACCAGCCAACAGCGCTCTTGTACGCGCCGAAACTTGCGTTTCCGGCTGCTCGCTGTATTGCCACGTCGTCAATGATGCTTTGTGAGTGGAAGTAGACGCCGAGAGCTGAGAAGCCTACAGCAATGACAAGAAGCTCAACCCAACTCCAGAACTCCGACAGGTACTCAAAAGGCCGAGAGAAAAGCGCCTTACCTGGAATACAATATAATAATGTGTAATATTAAACTTATCTGTGTGACTGTCCGTGTTTGTGTGTACATGTGTATGCTTATGTATCAATCTGATACCATACAGCCATAAAATAAGAAAAAAGTTCATGTTTATGATTGCCATAGAACCTCGGAAAACAGTGTATTGATAATTGTTTAGAAGTTAAACAGTTCAATTGATAAAATATGATATCAAAATTATTGAATCTGAGGTTGTGACAATCGTAGTCTTGATCTCAAATACGGTTCTAAACTCACCTTCCCGGATCATGAAGACGACAATAAAAATTGCAAGACATCCTCTGAGAACAAGAAGCAAGATGGCGTCGTGTTGGATAAGTCTCAAGGTCACGACCTCTGACCCCTTGTAAACCGTCCCGAGACTGGTGAACTCCGTTGCCATAGACACCAGAGAGAACAAGTTGACGTGCGGGTTGTACAGGGTGAGTTCTATGAAAACTGCCCGGGTCTTGTCGTCTAACCACTCATGTTTCTGAAGGTAAGCCGCTCGAGTTAAACTTGTCTGCTGTGTACTACCCAGAGAAGTTACGTAACCACCGGACAAGTAGGTGCCCTGCTTTCCAAAGTATGGAAAACCTGTGAAAGAAAAAAAATCATGACTGTTAACCTACCAGTGACGTTATATTCAAATACTATCTCTGAAAACACTACACTGAATGTTCATTCTCTGAACTTTAAGCATCTATGAATCTTTGAATGTTACATTATATCAGTTGTTTTAAATTAGCAAACATTGGATGTGTTTTATTTTAGTCTTGTGACCTGCACGCCATCACAGGTCTTCAAAATCTGCAATACAAGACCTCTCTCCGCAAAGGTTGAGAAACTCAAGTCGTCTTTATTTGGGCATCTTTTCAGAATGCCACTAGACACACCTGCACAAAAAGCCCTGGAATTGGCATTTCTAAGCTCCAGGAGATATAAAGTTCGCAAAGAGAGACACTGTATCAACCTGCTTAGCATACTGAAGGGAGACCTGAAACGCAGAGGGCTAGACCCTCCCACAACAGAAAAGAAAGTCAAGCAGCATAGAGAGTTCGCGAGGCAGACGACACGGTGGAAAGAGATAAAGAAAGACTGAATGCGACTTCAGGACATTTCCATACGACTGTAGACGCAGAATACAGTAGATGATGATGATGATGTGAAAAGATATTAAAGAAAATGTACAAAAAGGTCCAGCATATCTAAAGAGTCAAACATTACCATCAGTGACAGAGGCAAATGTGTAACTCCATGGGTTGCTTGCTTCCAAACAGTTCCTGGGTGATGTGGTTGCATTGTTGGCGATTAGTGTTGAAATACAAAACAGATCGTCTGTGGTGTTAGAAGTTTTGTTCCAGTTTTCCGTGTAGTTACGTGTATCCGAAACATCAATGGAGTATGCCACAGTGCAGCGAGGCATTAGGCTAGCTATTTGCTTGGGAGGTTCACAATGTTTCCCTGGGAAAAGTTTGAGAAGTTCCATATTCAGATCAATATTATACTAGCATGCGCTGGCCCTTATAGATGTAGTAACTTAAAGACTCTTACATCACTGTAATTGTACCTAGAACTGTTTTATGACCTGTACCTAATGTAGCATATGTACCTACGTTAAGATGTCACTCTTTCTTAGCAAGTAGTTTCTACCACATTTCATGCACTACACAGAAAGTAGCACTATGACATCAAAGAAAATGTCTGTGCAAATTCAATGTGTACATTTCCAGTATCTTAAAGAAAATCTCAGTCTGCTATGATTGAGGCAAGTTCGATGAAGGATTATGAGAAATAGAATAGACAAGCTGTACAGAGAAGCTGTACATGGACTCACCGGGAGTCAGTCGCACTTGTCGAAGCTGTACTGGACCCAGTGGATGGGTTAACATGTCCTCCAGAATCGCAGCCTCCTTAGAGGGCCTACCGTTGTACCACTGGGCTGCACGGGTAGCAGGAATCAACCCAGTTGTCACCCAAGTCCAGAACGACGGGATGTCCTTAATCTAGCAAAGGTCAAAAGATATCAGACCCGAAATGTATGCTGCACTCACCATAGAAAACCACCCACTAGGGAGCCTAAGATTATCCTTCGTTTTGTTGACAAGTATCTACTTAGAGATGCCATACAGATCGATCGGTCGTAGCGGCAGAGTGCTCAACTCGGAACCAACAGGTCCTGGGTTCGAGTCCTGACATGCCACCGACCTTGTGCCTTTGGTAAAGGCACTTTACACGACTTCCCTCACTTCGCTCAAGTAAACGAGTATTGTATTGTCCCGTGTTGGTGGCGGTATAATATAAGTTGAAAAAAACTTGTCACCGCGTCTTGTGATTACATGTTGGAATATAAATAGAGATTTAAAAAACGTCACCAATATTCTTACCTTTAAATTGAATCGACAGGTAACATCTACAAAATGTAAGCTCAAAAGTAGCCCCTGGTCCATACCTCAGAAAATCCAATGTCGCCGCTCTCCGAGAGTAGCCGATGTACATTCTTAGTAACATGGAAAGCCAAGGAGCTTCTTTCGCCGTATGATGTCACCATGATCACAGTCACGAAAAGCCCAAATAGCAAGACTTCTAGGACCTGTTTGCGCCTCTTACTTCTTTCTAAGCTCACAGCTCGTTGTTTGGCCAGGTCAGCTTCATCTGATGGAGAATTGGAGTGCACGAGTTCTGGAGTCTGTAATGGTATGGATACCATTGATTAAAACATTGGACAAATGATTTTTTGCCTTCTTAGCAGCATGTAGAGTTCAGTCGCTAGTAACCCTGCCTCTGGAGCAAGGGGTTGGGAGTTTGAATCCCGACTGTGTTGCTCACCCAACATGCATGCTGCACAGTAACTGTACTGTCCATTGTACATTTGTACTATTCATTGAACCAGTAAGATGTGTAACACATCAGAATTTGTCTTCTCTAGCCATTGTTTGTTGAGCTTTGAACCAATAGAGATCATTGTCACTCTCTTTCTGACATGGACAGTAGTATCTTGCCAGGCAAAGATAAAAAGTTAAAAACCAAAGTTTACCCGTTCGTTGAGTTGGTCTGAGGTTTTAGATTCCTCTGTCCACAAATACCGTGCCCATCCCGTAGCCGTCCGCCACAGTCTTGTACCATTTCTCACCACCTTGAAGAAAGACAAATCAGATCGTATGAAAAAGTGATGTTTTTAATATATCTATGAAGTGTTAGGATATATTGACTTTTTTTTTCTTTTCGTGTCCTGTCATTCTCTGGTAGAGTCATGAAGGTTAGCACAGCTTTGGAACTTAAAAAAACAACATAATCAGGGCTCGAAATTAATGGTGTCCCGATGGCCACGGACCACTAAACATTAGGCCGGGACAACTGAAAAGTCTCTTTGGGACACTTTCGGGACAACAGAAAAATTAATCAACATCAGAATGTCTGAGCCCTTCTTTTGTTGATCATGCACGCTTCCTGACTTTTAGCTCCGGAAAAGCTCCCCAAATTTCTCAAATAAAGTCGTCTTCAAGTTTTTGTCATACATACTTCCCGAAAAACAGGTTGGGACAATTCATCCTCAGTTCGAGACTATTGTCATTAATTTTTGGAACAATTTTGAGGCCTGCATAATGCAAACGAGCTATTTTATAAGCACCACATATTTTCCTTTGTAAGTAATAAAGTAAAGTAATAAAAGATACCTGACTGTTTGTGTTTTCCTCTAGATACTCTTCATCCTGATGCAGTGGTGTAGGTACTGGGTCTTCATCTTCTACAGGTTTCTGTCACAAAAAAAATGAAAGATTCGGAAACTCTAGTCCAATTCAGAATACCAAATCGTCATGCCAAAAGCACACATTATTTAAGCAATATGTGACACCGCCACAAAAACGTATCATACAGTCATATTCCACTGTCTATAAATGCATGAAATGTTGGAGTCTGAAATTGTAGAAAATGCCAGCAAAGCCTTAACTGGAATTCACTACTGATGGTAACTATTATTGCTAAATCCAACTCAAGAACATGGTCAAAGCAGAGGGGTGGTCACTATAAACAGGGCTCATAATGTATCTTGGGAAATGGTAACAATGATCTAATGGACCACTAAAATGTGGTCACAGAGTAGTGCAAGTGGCCCTAATATAGGCTGGAATAGTCAATAGTACATGTTTGCCTCTACATATACATGTATATCAATGGCCAGGTGGTCCTTATGCAGAGGTAGTGAGTATTACAGGTTTGACAGTACATGTATATCAATTGTTCAATGTCCAGGTGGTCCTTATGTAGAGGTGGTCACTAGTACAGATTTGATTGTATGTCAATGGTCAGGTGGTCTTTATACAGAGGTGGTCACTAAGTGCAGGTTTGACTTTGAATGTATATCAATGGCAGGTTGGTCCTTTTGCAGAGGTTGTGACTAGTAGTACCTTTGCCAGTAGAGCAAACAGCACAGCCACCAGCATCAGTTTGAAGGGTTGTATTAGGAACAGGTCGGTCAGGAATGATGTCAGGAAAGTGACGAGCCACGCCTCCGCCTTCGCACGTCCGAAACTCAGGCTGTACAGCACGGTGAAGAACGCAGCCAGGAAACTCGCCGACCAGACAAGCAACCAGCCTGTACAGAAGGCGGGAAACTTATTGTCACACTTTAGGCCACTCCAATTTAATTTGTTGGTTCTCGGATTTTTTTTCAGAACAAATATGAAGCGACAAGCGAAAAAAATATAAAAATAAATAAAAATAAAAGCAGGTCTATAGGCATCCTATCATAGCCCCAAACGTTACAATTGGAGCCACGAAGTCAACACAATATTCAAACAATGACTTCTGAACTTTCAATCCGACCACTTCATTGATAGATAAAAAAACAACTGTAGCAACTAGGAAGAAGTGACTTTCCTCAACTGTTGGGTGCAAAATTTGAGCATTTTTGACTTGATTGAGAACCAGAATCTATTTTGTTTGCAAATAAGAAAAAATGAATAAGCGAATCCGAGAACCAACAAATTAAATTGGTGTGGCCTTTGCATTGCATACATGAAAGATAACATAAAATGTAACTAAAACATAGCATTTCAGGCACTGTACGTGTAACGAAAGCATAGTTTAGGAACAGGTAATGATTGCACTTGGACATGCTCTAGAGCAATTCGACAATTTGAAAGTAACCTGTGGCAGTGATGACAGACGTAATCATGAACACACTTTTTATTTAATTTATATGTGTTGGTGTGTTACACTGAATTGCGGTTATACCGGCTATACTGATAGAGAGACAGATACATGCTTCCAAGGGAATCTCAACTTAATTTTACAGCTGCTTTCATTGCCTACACAATGTTTTCATCCTTTTCCAGCGCTGATTTTTAAACAGTGAATCTTATTTTAAACAGTGAATCTTATTTTTGTGATGGAATTAACCCATTTTGATAACAAAATAACTCAACGAGATAAAACATACCTATGTACACAGACCACCAAGGTAGTGAGGAGTTTTGTATTGTATCAACATCCTCCGGATCTGTTTCATTGCCAGCATCGACTGATTCATCAAAAGACAGCTGAATTGGTCGTTTGCAGAGGTATTTTTCGGAATAATCGTGATATTGCCTCTTCTGCACTGTATCTTTCTCTTTGCGGTGCCACAAAGAAGGAGGCTCATTCCGTTTCTTGCTTGCTTCTTTGTCATTTTGTTTCTTTTGAGGCAAACATTTGGTCAGACTTTTCAAAGACACATTATTCCTCGATGCTGTCTTTTCATTTTCAACAGAGGAACGGGAACCAGAGTTTCGAAACAGGAAGACAATGATCAAGTTGACAGGCATGATGATTGCAGCGCTCTGTAGACCTATCATGATCTGAAACATTTACAATCAATGATTACTACGTACGAAGTATAACAATTTTATAGTTTATGTTTCATAACGGTACCTCATTACTTATGTATGTCTGGAAGTGCACCTGTCAAACAATAATATTATTCTTCTTCTTCCATGCTGCTAAATAAAAAAAAATGATTGTATTATCAGCAGTTGCGCATACATACAACATGTGACCGGTAAAAACAACGAGGTTTAACACAATGAACAAGGGTAAACATTTTTAAAGGAAAAGACGCTAATCAACATACTATTAGGTAACTGATTCTAACAACATACAGCTGCAAGAAAAAGATGTTATTTTTAGAAATTCTAGGCTTCTCGCATAGTCACAAGTTCCAGAAACATTTTTTTAGCATTTAAAGACATGCACATCCAGCTAATATAGACTAACAACAGTTCCTAAGAGTCCACAACACCATACCTGCGGAAGGGATATCGGTGGGTCGATCTCTATACCGCCAATTCTGATTGGCTCAGGCGGGTCAAAGTCGTCCCCACGGCCGAAGAACATGATGTTGGTGACCATGGTGCTGTAGAGCAGCGTCAGGCAGCAGGACAGCCGCTGGACTCGGCTGAACGGACTGCGCGCCGGCCGGCCCGCCACGGAGAACCACAGGTGGCCGTCATTCATGTCCCTGTGTGGCAATAAGAAAAAAAACTAGAAGGGTAACATTTGCAAAGCAAATTCAAAATATTTACCTTCACAATTGGTCTAGCCCAGCAAACTACTGCTGTTTATTGTTACTCAAACGCAGTAATATAATATATGGTGAGCAGCCAATCTAGCTCTGTCCTGCTACAAAATGTAACCCAACACCACAGGGTGCTACAGCACTGATTTCCATGGTGACAAACGTATGGTCCAGGTCACTGACTTTATTTGTTATGAGAGGAACAAACAGAGCAACAACAATAGATTTTCCCTCTGTGAAGGTAAGTATAATACTAGTAATTTACTATGTACCATATTTCAGAGATAATAATTGTCATAAAGGTCAGTTAACCAGTTGTTATTGAATATTTGTTGCTGGCATTGCATGTTCTTATCCATATGGGCTAAATAAAGCTTTAATTACAATAGATACTAATTTAAGGTGTTAAATATCACTTTCATCTGTAATGTTGTTAATTTGAGGAGAAACAAAACCGTACATTAAATCTATGTTATCCTTAAACCAACAAGTATACCGTATTAGTAATTTTTTCAAAGTATTAAAGAATTGGTTGATCTGTTAGACACGCATTTCATAAATGGAAAATTAGTGGGTTGATTCGTCACAAGTCACAACACAGAAAAAAGTCTACCTTGAACTTTTGGCCAGGAACAAGTTGCGAAATTTCTTCATCTCTTCTGGATCAGCTTCAATAAGGACTCGACTGATGTTCCCGTCATCTCTGTCTAGAGCAAACCATCTTTGGGAGGAAATTTTAAAATTTTAAAACCAATTAACTCGTGACATCAATACGATTAGTGTTAAAGGGATCCAATGCAATTTCAGGGCAGTGAAACTGAATTTTCAAAGATAATTTTCTTGTCATTCTTTTAATGTAGTAAGATGAATCCGTTATCGTATGATGCTCTGATATGTGCGAGGTAAAGTCACAATGTCACGGATGGAAAACGGGTACTTGTTTCCCAAAGAATAAAGAGACTTTTCACATGGCTTGTTTTGGGGCTATTTCAAACACTTCAAGTATTAAATGGTGAGGAAAATGAGTTAAGAAAGAAATGTCAGTCAAGCTACGAAACGGTATGCAGTCAATGTCATTATAAGATAGATTTCCTCATCACAATATTCATTGTTTTACAGGTCCTGAAATCGCACTAAATGCCTTTGAAACCAAATGCATTTTTAGCCAATGTCATTGGAGCAAAAGTCAAGTCTAAACCATTGTTATTTTAAAGACTATCCATTGCATCAGAAGACAGAAGAATGCCAACAATATTCCGTTGCATCACTCCAGTATAACGTTACATACAGTGCCATATCTGAGTCTCAAGTTTTCTTACCTGTTGCAAATGAAGTAGTTTGGTGTGTTGTTTCCTCGGTTGGTTACTACAATCTGGCTCAGAAACCTGCAACCAATGTGTGGCAAATAGAGGCAAAAGTACAAAACATGAATATCCAACATCCCCAACACAGGCAGGAAGAAGCCATGCAAACCTAATAGTATAGCAAAGTTTTAGAACTCATGTTAGGATTTAGAAGTCTAAGTGTCAATGTCTACATGCTACTATTACATAATGTGTCATGTAGTTTTTTTTATTGAAACATACAGTAACAAGACGTGGTGGCGACACACTCAAGTTATACACTTATATTCATGTCGCCACCAGACAATACGTAATACAAGCAAGCAAAGCACGAGTTTTCATATAGAAGTTGAACACAATAATTAATAAATGAACAAGTGAAACAAATATATAAATACTGACAGGATTAATCAAGTTATTACAAAAAAAAACAATTTTTGATTCTAACAAAAAAGGATGTACATTTAGTAGTATTTGAGTATTGTACATTGTTGACATAAAAGAAAAACCTCTTAAAAGTAAATGAATCAGAATATCATCTGAAAGATCATCCAAGTCAATGAAGCCAATCAGTGTTTTCAAGTTGCCAAAAATTTCGTTGTCATGTATTTGTGAGCCTGGAGGTCATGAATGTAACAATAACGGCTATACATAATCATTGCCCTGATGATCATAGCACATGGCCCATTGAATCATTTGCTACATAATTTATGCACTCTTGGTTGTGTTGAAGAAAGATGCTGACCATCCTGGACTGTACCCTCCGTTGTTGTGCCACACACGGATGTAGCGGAGGGCCCCCAGCGGCTGAGACGTCGACACGAGGAAGGAATCCACGCTGCCCCTCTCGAACAAGATCCTCTTCTGGTCACTGAGTGTGAAGGGAGGGCTTTCATGGTCTTGGCTGCACAGGACAATAGTTACCTAGGGGGAACATTGGACCCAACATAGAGATAAACATAACTAGAAAGGTAACAACATTTTCACATTTTGGTGGTTCTTTAGATAATTGTTCCATTGATCGCAGCATTTAATTACTCTGTCTCTGTCTACCACAGACAGTCTACACATGTATCTATTTTAGACAGATATGACAGTACAAAACTGAACCAGGTGTATATAGTAGAGTGGGTGTAATCATCAGGTAACCAGCATCTTTCACACAGCAGACATCCGTCAGTCAGACATCTGCACAGTTCCACAGCACTTTTATTTAGCCCGCCACAACCAGTTTTGAGGGCTTTTATTTGTACAGACTGGATGGATTTGTAGCCCGAACGCAAAGAAAGTTTTGCACGTACTTAAAGTTCTACGGCCAGTCTGCGTTCACCCAAATCAGTAGGATTCCGTACGGAGGCTGTACTCACCACTTACGGATCCCACAAATTTGACCACGTTTTTGCACGTAGTAGACAGTACGCAGTTGCAAGTACAGTGGGTTGTGCCACTCGCTTATGGGATACCAACCAAACCTACAGCCCTACCTCTGCAGTTGTCCCAGAGTTCCCCTTGAAGCCAGTGTAAACAGTGATGAGGTACTGACAGTCCTGTCTGGGGTTCAGTTTGTGGCCAGGCAGAATCCCAATCCCAGCCTAGAACACATGAATTACAACTGACAATGAATTGTGATATTTTACCAAAATTATAGTACAATCATACCGGTGTAAAATGAGCACTCAATGAAAACATAAGGCACAGCCTTTAAGCTCAAAGCATCTTGAGATTGCTCTAAAACATTTCAAGATCTGGTCAAAACATCTCAAGATTTTCCATAACATTTCAAAACCTTTCCACACAACACCTGGGGCTTTTTCTAAATGTCCACTACATTTTATCAATTTTATCAAGGATTATTTGAAAACATCTCAATATGCTTTAAAAAATCCTACCACTTAAGATCTCAAGATGCTCTTAAACTATCTTAAGATATGCCTAAAACATCTCAAGATTTATATCTGTAAATAATTTCATCAGGTTGGTAAACGAATGAATAGCAAAGTTCTTTGATCACAACCATCTATTTTTCACGAAGATGACAGACGGTCATCGAAACGCCGGCTCGTGAAAAATAAATGGTTGCTATTTATCTCAAGATTTATTCAAAACATCTCAAGATTTTGCACAAAGTCAAAAGTTATCTACCCTGCATACCTTCACTACATCCCTTCTATCAGACTTCCTGGCCCAAACGATGCCCATGAGATAGGCTGCAAACACAGTCAGAACCAGCACCAGTCCTGATGGGTTTTCCAGAACGTTGGCTGACAGAGCCTCTGCGATGTTTAAGGGGTTCGGCGCGACAAAGCCACTAAACTTTGTCAGATGGTAGCAGCGGCAGTGGATGTGACTAGTGTTAGATATCAGGCCAACCTAAAGTTGTACAATTGATGTGTAAAGGGTTGCTTAGTGTTAAGGAAAAAGCACAAATTGTATTCTTGTATTTCTTTATACAGTGCAGTAAAACATTAATAAGGCCATGGCATCCTGGCATTACCAAACATGTAAATGGTAATACTGTGAACCTTATCTATTTATAGTTAGCAAATAATGGACTAAACGAAAACTTTAATTACTTGCAGTAGACTGATGGGAACTATATAGAATTTGACAAAAAATTATCTGAAAGACCATCAAAAACTTGCAACAATGTTCAGCTGGTATTTTATACAGAGGTGGTCACTAATATAGGTTTGACTGTCAGTGTATACTGTAAACTTCCAATGAAATGCCATTCAAACAGATGTATTAAGTGGTGACCCTTCGTTTTCATGTTAGGAAAGTACGTAATGTTGTTGAAAGCAGAGAAGTAACGGAAGGATCATGCCTTTATCTACCTCACAACCATCAGTTTGCCACAAGTGGAGTTCTTCGTCAAAATAAACGCAGGATGTTTCAAAGACATACAGGGTGAAGTTCACAACGTCTCCCCTCCCCAGGTCCTGCTCAGAGCCAAGTTGTACACCTGAAATAAAAATTCAAGGAGTCTTTTTTTCTTTATTTACTCCATGATTCATCATGAAATAAGGCTCATGAGAGAAACTCGACATGTTTTGTGTTACTGTACAGCCAGTGAGGACAGATGTTTGTTGACCTGAGACTTGAAAAGTTTAATGTTATACCCATATGGGAAACAATCACGTGGTAGTTTATTCCATAGTGATGTTATTCTAGGAAATAAGCTTTCAGTGTGGAACTTCTGAGAGGCGGTGGTGTTCGAAGTGGGGGCACTAGCGAGTGAAGTTCCGTCTTCAACCATATATCGCAGCTGTAGCAACTACAAAGACAACTATTGGTGCCAAAATATGAGCATGATTCAGAACCTGAATGGTATTTTTATTTTTCCAAAGTCATGAGTCAATGAGTGAGTGAGTCAGTGAGTGAGTGAATCTACTAAGTTAAAGGCATTTACCAACAAAATAGTTTGTCATGTTCTCCACATCGTCACTGGTGATGTTGACTTCCTCTGGTGAGAGCAGCCAATGGTAGGGGTTTGAGGTCAGCTTTGTTCCGTTTGTCCATGGAATGTACACCATCTGTTCATCGGGAACGGGCAGTGACGCCGTCCAGTCGAACTCCGCTGGTGTTGGTGGCGCCTCCTTGCGGAGAAACATGGTAACGTCTGGCGGGTAGAGGGTATTGTTGAAGTCCAGCTCCAGGCTTAATGCTGAGCGGTTTGTCCTCACAAAGAACTGAAAAATCTGTGACAAAAATACATTTTGATGCTTAGCTGGAAGAATGATTTTTTTTCATTTATGTGACATGAAAAGCGAAATCTCTAAATGCTGTATCATGCCCCGATTCAAAACAGATATTGCCTTATGCATATTAATAAGCCGCCGACTTCCTGCTCAAATGATCCGATGTGGTATTTCTGGGAAAGCACAATTTTCATTGTTCATTCATGCTCAGAAGAGGTAAAGGCAAAGCTGACCAAGTGTGATCTACATTGTACATGAAACACAGAAATCTAAACAAAAACTGTAAAACACTACTGTATAACTTTATTCAGACTCTCAGAATTATTTATTGATCAATGGCAGTAAACTTAATACAAGTTAATGAATTGCGAATCAATGTACATTTCATTATTTGCCCTATTTATAGGGCGAATAATATACCCTATTGTAGAAAGGAATACTACAGTCTGCTTTGAATTCCATAAAACCTGACAAGGCCTTAGCCACTGTGAAAACTTTACTCCCCCTACAGTATACATTAGGGGCTATAGGACCGTAAACCTTTAAACCTACTGCCATGTTCCCAAGTGGTTCCGATGCTTTAAAGACATAGATCAGTTCGGAGATACTGTCGTTCTTAGACCTCCTCGTCAAAATGTCGATGGGCTCGCTCAGACCGGAAACCGGAAGAGTCCGGTTCCCACACTTCACTCCCAGACCTGTGACGTCAGCGCCGATCTCGTGCGAGTTGTTGGAGTACTCGTAAGGGTTAAAGTTTGATTCTAGAAACTGAGAAAAAAAGTGTGTTTTTGTCAAATCAATCAATCAATCAATCAATCATCCGCGGGCTTCAGGGTAGAAGCATGGAGGCCGTAGACAGCTGTCTCCAGAGGCTTCTGTCAGCAGCGAGGACTCTCCAGGAGTCCTTGGTGACGCCCACTCTCCTCAGGTATTTGATGGGCAGATCCTCCCATCGCCTTCTGGGACGACCTCTAGGGCGCTTCCACGTGGGGTCAGGTTCAGCAGTGACCAGTTTAAGACTTTAATTCGTTATTGTTGCAGAATCTGATTCAGTAATTGCACTAGCAATTATCCATCTTTAAAGTTAGCATCTATAGGTAGATATTCATCTACCTTATCCATCTACCTTTATGTGAAGTAGAAACAAACACACAAAGCAAAATAACATGTAATACTCATGAGCTTGTAATACGAGTACTCATGCTGATAGCACAACTTACTTGGATAAAGCATAAAGCTGAATAAGACATTTCTTCATTACTTATATTGTTCAAACCAATGTACTATCACAATGGCTGTTTTTATTATGACTAGGAATGAAGCAGTATTACCTGAATTCCCACAGTGCTGTTTATGCATGAATCCCCCATCAGGTCAGGAAATGAAGAAACCCTGACCAGTGAGTCACTGTCTCCTTTCACATGGTACACTCTTTCCGCGAGCCTCGTCCGATTTTCACGTTTGATTCTGATGTGGACCTGAGCACAGAATTGATTATACATGTATATAGTAAAAAGCTAGAAGAGACATCTAGATAGTGTTAAAATTAACTAGAAAGGTTACATTTGGAAAGTAATTGCATAATGTTACCTTCGCATATGGTCTGTTCTGTTAATTCTTACTCAAATACATTCATATGTATGGTCAGACAGGGTAATCCCTCCTGCTATATAGTTGATATATACCAGATACCATGGTGACAGACGTCAACAAATCAGGCCATTTGCCAGGTCAGAGGTTAGTGTTTGGAACGGAAGAAGAAGAGGAAACGCAGCAAAAACAATATGTTTTCCTTCGGTTAACATAATAACTAGTTTTATGGTATACAATTCATTATCATTTTTTACATGTTAAGCTGTCAATATATGCTTGAGTAGTATGTTGACTGAACCTATTTTAGCAGACTGGTTTCTTTTGTCCACCATGTGCTAAAATAATTTTGCTCACCTTGCTTCAACAAGAAATGGGACAAAATCAATCAACTAATGCTTCTAGGTTTGAACATACAAAAAAAACGAAATAGACAAGACTACAGTACCTTGGACATGGAATGATCTGCAAAAATTTCTGGATCTGAGAAGTCAGGCATTAGCTTGTTTAGATAAATGTCGTCCAGAATGTCCAAGGCTTGGAAAGCAATCGCAGTGGCTTCTTGACACTAGAGATTGAGACACATCATAAGATACATGTCAATTTTTGTATGTGTTTACAGCTAATAGTCTTTACTCAATGACATGTTGACTGGACTATGGTAAATCTTACTACAGTACAGAACTCTTTAGTTTTTTAATACTTAGACGTGGACCACTGACTCATATGGAATTGTTTGTATTTTGCTTTTATGGTAGCAATATGCAATGTGTACGTATCTCTTGGCTTGGATTTGAATTTCAGGGATCCTTTCCACTTCTGCATTGTATTATGTAGCCAAATGTATGTATGGTATGTTAACATATTTGTGGATGACAATGGAGGGAAAATTTGCTTACATAGGCAAGATCAGCACTGAAGGATTTCCCAGCAAGATGTTCCTTTCCAGCCAACACAGATGAAGCTGATAGCACGTTCACAGTTCCTAAAGGGGATGTAGGAACATAAGGTAGGTTTCTTACTACATGTATACTTACGTAGGCTAAGGGGGAAAATGTTGTGTTTCCTGTTTACCGACCGTAGCCTTTATTTTGGTTGACTCCTGCAAGGGGCATAGATTTTTCGAGGTGATAGGCCCTTTCTAGTTCCATGATGTGACACCTGAGTGATGAAGTTGTACGATCAGTTTCCCAACATTGACATTGACATTGAAAATATATGTGTCATCATGCAAGTTTTACTTTGTTAAAAGCTGCATTAAATATGTTGGATCACAGTTTTTCTTAGACCGACAGAAACATATTATTTCAGACAGTTACTACAATTTCTCCATCCTTTCATCATTTAAAAGATCACCAAAACACCACGTTTCAACTTTGATGACAAAACCCACTCATTATGCAGAAATCTGGGACTATTCATTATCCACTACCTTTCCGAGATAGTAGTTGTCTGTCTCCTATTATTGTGTTGTACCGAATAGTATTTTTGACTGTATGGAATTAGCCTTTGGGCATGATTTTGCAAAGAAAGAATGAGTAAAAAGCACGTCAGGACTGACCAGAGAACATGAAGGCTGCTAGTTTGTTGACCACCTCCACCGAAGTCACCCCATCAGTGGTGTTTCCTACCAGCTCCCTGGTCCTCTCAAAAGCCGCCCGTAAAGAAGCAGCAGCTAGGACCTAAAGGATAAGGGTAAAGGTCACTATTTCCCGCAGGCATAGAAGGGCCATTATGAGACCCTTTTGATGAGTGTTTCCTAACCATCTGAAAATCGATTTTTTTTCTTGGTATGTGTGGATAAATGCTCGTATTTTCTAGCTGGAGAGTCATTTAATTTTCTATTTTGTTGAAAAAACTGGCTTATAGGTTTGTTTTGGCTGCCTGGTAGAGCTCTAAACGCAATGACAATGGTCATGATCTCAATGTTTTCATGTATCGTACTTCTTTTCGCTGGTCAAAATATGAGATTTTTGGAATAAATGGACAATGTAAGTTTGAAATAGTTGAACACTCGAGTAGGTGATTTTTGACAGCTCAGTTCTTATATGTTTACCGATATGTTTCAATGGGTCAGGCTTCACTGGGTCAGTCTACTGAGGAAGACCAGATCTAGAGTGACTGGTCGAAAGCTCTAGGTGAGAGATCTCTTTGTATTGAATCAAAAGTTTTAACTTTAAACATGTAACTACCAACACAGATGAACTTGCATGATAGTATGTTCCAATGTTGTTGGAAATAGTGGTCTGTGGCCAGAAGTCAGTCATTTAATAATACTAGTCTGAGAGGATTTTTTCTCATGAAATGCCAAATTGCATCAGGGATCACCCCAGAATTACTTAGCGAGCATATTTTTGTCTGGGTCAGTTGAAAAGTTTTTAAAGTATTCAACTGACCCTGACAAAAAGATGTAGTTAAAACTGTGTTCAAGTACAAAGCTTAACAGTCACACACACTGATCCCAGTTTTAGTTGGAACTGCAGGAGTGTATTATTGATATGTACATACCTGAGATTTTCCGGACACCATTTGGGGCACAACTGTGGTTAGGAAAGTAGATAGTGCCACGCCATTGATGCTCTCAACATCATCCGGGTCCACCATGCTTAGTGCTTCAGTTATCATGTCCACAATCTGTACAGCAACATCAATCAATCAATCAAACATTCATTCTATCTACTAGTAATCATGCCCCCAAAATATGCAAAAATACATTCATATTGCTGAAAAAGCTAGTAAATAACAGTTATTCTTTGCATGGCATATACTACATATAGATGAAATTATTGTATCCAGAATCATGCCTATCTAGTTTTATGCTTGAATGGGTCAGGGTTAGGATTAGGTATGGCTCTGAATAGACATACATTTGTACATGTATCCATGGATCTGGTCTTCTGGATATGCATGGGCCATCCAGAACCATGCCTGAGCATGGCCCTGGGTAAAGTGCAGTTCTGGATAACAACAACCACTCCACTATGCTTTCAGCACCAAGGACAGAACCATTATTCCACTGCATTGCAAATTTCATCATAGGAAAGATTGAAGCAGTATGTCCTGTGTGGTCAAGATGACTTTGTAAAGAGTTTTTAATATGTTTCCAGCATATACAGTGTACTTAATGTAACAGTTTCCTTACTTATTGGTTTTCCTATAATTATGTATAATCTACTAAACAGGTGAAATAGCCTTGAGTTTTAATGAAGCTTATTGAATGTATAATTTCAGTTTCAGTTTTTTGGGATGCCCTTTGGCCCCTTACATGTAAGTTATTATTCATTTGATTTCTGTATGATTTATTTGGTATTATTTGATGTATGCCTATTTTGGACCACTTATTCTTCTGTTACTTAAGTTCATGCTTAAGTTACCTTATTTTAATTCGTCCCATGATTGTACATCATAAGTTTCTTCAGCGATTACTCTATGTTGTATTGTTATTATTTTATTGTGTTTGGGGACTGCCCCCCAGGGTGCATTGAAAACCGCCCTCCAGAGCGATATGTTCTTTGATTAAATAAACAAATAAACAAAGGGGCTAATTTTTCGGGGCTACTACACCAATTACATACAATCACATACAGAAACAGACATTTACAATCATATCTTTCATACAGTATTAATAAAAAAGATTCGTTGAATTACGAGTCACAAAAAGTCTTAATCAATATAAAGTGTACTCAATTTTAATATACCCTGCGATAATTGTTGGAATTTTATTTCAGACTTAATGTCTAAAAATAACATTTACAACAACTGTTACCTCCAACACATCGTATCCTGTGTAAGCCAAACCTCCCGCCGCAGCTGAGGCGAGTATCGCTCCTTTATAAGCACTCTCTGAGTCTCCTAAAGCCAGCTGTCTGAAGAACACACCACCGGGATGAGCGAAGAAGGCGTCAAGGTAACTTTGAAGCTGAGAAACTGTTGGTGGTCTTATCTGTAAAATGAAGAAGATGGCAACATTGCTGAACAAGAAATCACACATTTTGGACTCCCAGGTAGTACTTTTAGTACTTTTCCTTGACCTACAAGTTCAAAGATATGGAGGTCTTTGAAGTTTAAGTGCACGTGTTTGGGGAACTGTGTATGAATTTCAGGGTAAAGGCAAGATGTGATTTCATTGGGTATCACACTACTTTGCACGGGCTAGGTCACCTTCAGGTGACCTCCCTATCTATCAACGATAAAAATCACCTCCCACCCACAGGGCAACTCAAAGCAATAAGGTCAAACATCCACCCAAAATACTGGTAATAATATACCAGGAAGTAACAAAAACGGACGTTAAGACACAATGCACTCAGAACGACTAGTTTGATAATAGAATTACCCAGAATGTACGTAATGTGGTAATATGGTAATTCTGCCAGAGGTTTGATCAACATTGCATCTGTATAACATTTGTTGTATAGGCATGTTCTCCTTAGACACAGCTACACGTAAAACTATATGACTAAGTCATCTGCACATTTACATGCTGCATACCCACCTCTATTGGTGCAAGCTTGAACTCGAAAAAGCGTCCGTCAACCGAGTCAGCGCGTACAAACAATTGGATAGTGCCAACAGCGAGGTCAAACAGAGGCGTGTACCCCACCTGAATGGAGAAAATCTCATTGGACACTTTAAGAATATTGGACACATGAACAAGATCATTTCCTGAGAGGGGTGAAAGAAGCTATCTACATGCAGGGCCCATCATCCTTCACTCACTCGCGACGGGGGCCGACATCGTCTACCAGATACCTTTGACCCAGTGTTGACATCACACTTCAAAGAAGCCACTTGACAAGTCTCACTGGGCCAGTCTACTGAAGAAGACCAGAGTGACTGGTCGAAAGCTGTAGGTAAGAGAACTTTTTATGTTGGATTAAAAGTTTTAGCTTTAAACATATGGGCCAGTGTGTTAGGGTTGTTAGAAGCCTTGTTGTAGTCGAGCTCACCCACAGCCGTGATGAAGCAGAGATGAAGATCCTGTTGTCCCCGGCCGGGCCGTCTCCGGGAAAAGTTGCGGTGGCGAGTTCCCCCGCCGGCGTGAGCTGGAACCGTATGGACACTTCCACAGGACCCAAGATATCAAAGAACCCTGCGATGAAAAAAATTATTTTTATTTTATGAAGACTTACCACATTTGTGGGAGGATTGACACAACAGGTGAATATCACCTCTTCAACATGTCAAACTTGAGACCAGAAAGGTCCCCTACTCTTTTCGATAAGTGCGGTGGGTTCTTGAACGTGCGTGGGGTGAACTTGGCTAACATATCTGACGCTTTTAGCTAAGATCTTATCTTTGCACAATATTCTACAGTGATTTAAAACTTATTTAAAGTACAACTGCTGTATTGTATACATTTTATACCTTATTGTTTTAATTTGTGAAATATTTTGCTAAACAATTTGCTGAAATATTTTTCTAAATGTGCCTGTTATAGAATCTTAATATGTTCGTATAAAAATTAATTCATGGTCTGACGTGTTCTGAGCTTTTGAGGGCTTTAGTTGGGCAAACCTGGGCTGTTTATATGAACCAATTTTATTACTTAAAAGTATTACAAGAACTTTAAAGTAAAACTGACAAAAGTACTGCAACTTCCGTATGGTCTATTACTAAACATACATGTACACTGTCACAGACATGTGGGTACAAAAAAGTGACCTACGTACAAAATAGTTTATCTAGTATGAATCAATACACTGACTTTTGTGTGTCACTTATAC